TGCTGGGAATGTTGAGTATCTACTTGATCAGTAAAGCTTCTGCAGTAATAGTCACTGAGCTCTGCTTAATTTAGCCCTAGTGTTTAGCAACTGGTGATGAGGAAGCAGACCTCTGGATTATTGAATTGAAACCTAGCCTGGATGGGTAGTTACTCAGTTTTATCTTAGTGAGTACCTACTTGATCGCCTGTGTTGATTTTAGCCTATTCCATAGTGAATAAGGTCTTGAAAGAATAAAAGAAAGGAAAAACACAAATAGTCCAGGACTGAAGAGGAAACACAAAGCTGTGCTGTTTCTACCTGGTTTATAGCTATTGCTAGTAAATAAGGATTTTCTTCCAGTCTTTGACTGCAGCTGTGTACTTCTTACCGGTACTGAACTCACTTAAAATCTGGTATTTCTCATAACCCGTTAGCCCCGTGTTGAGCTTGGTCACTGTTCACTCAAAAAGTTTAGAAAACCTTGCCACTGGGTTTATTAGATGGTTGAATTTATTTGTAGGTGCCTCAGAATGTCAAAGAAAAGAACTACAGTTCTTAGGGAAGCTCTAGGGATAGAGCTAGTTCATCTTAATGTGTGTTTAGAGGTAACACAAGAATGCATTCTTCCCACTTTGATAAGAATGCCAGCCGAGTCTGAGCTAAGCTCAGAGCAGTGCTCTTTCCGTGATGCCAATCTCATTTAGATATATATTTTTTCCTGTTAAAGACCCATTACGTTGTTTCATACGTAAATGGGCCAGATGGACCATTGTGCAGAAGGTGCTGACCCTAAGTCTATATCCCCACTATTTTAATACTCCCAAGTTATCAATATTTAAAGATTTAATAAGCATTCAATTCTTTATATTGAAAAACTTAATAGACCACTTAACTAGCTAACAGTGGTGTTTGACGGAACTTGGAGGAAGAGTAGTTCTAGTGAAACGTGTTAAATTGGAGAGGCTTTGTGCTGGTGATTTAGAGATTGAAAAATGTTGGCTTTCTTGCCAAGTTGTTTGTGTTCACAACTTTGACTTACACATGCAGAGCACTGTCCTTTTAAGAGAGCTTTTAAAAATAGCAAAAGTTGAAGGGAGTTGACTTGAAATGTAACACATGCTAGTTGTGCCTGATCTTTAATAAAGTGAGGTAGATAATGCAGTTAGTACTTCCCTTTTTATAAAAAAAGTTCAGTGAAAACCTAGCTCATTCAGCTGGATAAACTGGGACTTGTACCAGGTTCTACCCTCAAACCATGGGCGGGGAAAAAAAAAGTGGAATTCATATCTTTGGGTGAAGGCTTGCTTCGTCCAGCTGGATCACATCTTCAACAAACCGACATTCTGACCCAGCCCGTTTAACTTAGGGATGCTCTGGTTTCCAAGCCGTAGAGAAGGTCTGGTCTGTCTTTTGGTTTGGATTAATCCTTTTTTTTTAATCAATCATGGCGCATCAGAAATAAGGGAACGTTGCAAGTGCATTTTATCTATGATTAGAAGGAAATGCATTACTTCAAAGTGTGATTTCTTATTGTTCAGGCCTGAGAAAAGGACAGTGCTCTGGCTTTCTAAAATACGCTTGCTGAATTCTGATTTACACATAGGATTTTTTTTTTTTTTTTTTTTTCTTTTTGTCTCTTCCTGTATCTCCACCATGAATCCTCATGCTTGCTTCCCTCCCATAACATTCCCTTCACACTCCCATCCCATGACACTTCTTCACAGCTTTGTTCATCGTGGACGGCCTGAACCTCTGGACCTTCATCTGGGCATGTTCCTCCCCACCCTTCTCACCCAGGCAACCCCAGAGCAGCAGGATCGCTTCTTCATGCCTGCCTGGAACCTGGAGATCATTGGCACTTATGCCCAGACTGAAATGGGCCATGGTACAGTACATTCACTAAATGCTATTTATAAGCATGGCTTTGTGTACAAGGATTCCTCTGCCTGGGAAAAATGGTGTGTGTTTGCCCCCCCCCAGTCTTTACACATGCAGTTGTGGCTGGAGGGAGAAGTGGACTGCCTCTGAAATTTTTAGCAGATCATTATGCCACATGCTGCTTGCCCTTTTTTTCTCCTATGGGAGAGTTTAATGGGTGTAGTTCTATCTATGAGCATACTGAGTGCTCCTCTTGTGCCATTCAGACCAGTATAGGTTATTGTGTGTGGCTGTGGTGATGTCAGTTTGACATCTGCTCATTTCTACACTTACCATTCTTTCCAGTGTGATTTCTGCTTTTCTCTACTTAACGTTCAGTGTGAAGACAAAAGGACAGAGCTTTAAAGCACTGAAAGAGATGCCAGAAAAAGAGTTCCTTGTCACCTTGGGACTGACCTTGGATCAGAAAACATGTGGATGACTTGGTTCCAATGCTCATGTTTTGTGGGAGATTTATTCTGCCAGTTCTTAGTTCACTCCCATGTGTTCTTTTTAATTGGACCATGAAATATGTTTTTTTTAATTCTCTGTCTCAAGTAGACTTTGTTCTTTGTTGCTATTCCTTTGCTTTCAAGCTTTGAAATGGATTTTGATAACTCCAGCAGTATTATGACTGCAACACTTTTAATCCAAGTTTCAAAGGGAGGATATTATGCCTTGGGAAACATTAATTTTGACATCTGAGAGTTGCAGATGAGGATTACTTTCTAAAAATGAACAGGATTCACCTTTGTGCTGAAGTGAAACGTAGAGACGGTATGAAGCATAAAGTAACTGCAAGTCTGTGGAGAATCTCTTGCACCTAGTGAGGTTTGAAGAACCTTTACCAGCAATGTAAGTTGTGGAAGTCTGCCATTAACGTTTGGAAATGTGGTTGCATCAAGGTGATACTCTTTTTCAAGTTGAAGCTCTTGTGTAGAGTCACTGGCTCGGTCTTGCTCTGTCAGTCCAGACTGTGAGGAGAGTTCACAGCTCATCCAGTTTAAGCAAGTAGGCCTGGTGGGTTTTATTATTTTATTTATTTTTAAGGCATGCAGGGACACTGCCACTGCTGAGACAGGTGTGTGTGAAGTAAAGAGTTGGGGACAGAAGACAAAAGACTGTTCCTGGAGTTGTTACCTTCATCTTTTTGCAGTCTCTGCATCTACGCGCATCAGTACTCTAGCATGGGCATGCCGTTACTTGCTGTCTTGGAGCTATGGATGATCTTGTTTGGGAGAAACTGCTCCATCAAGTGAGGAGAATGTAGGCCTGATGAGGGAATGAAGAGATGATGGGCACTACTTATTTCATCTTGTGGCTGAGAAGTGTGTGATTTTTATGTTGCAATTTAATCAAATTGCAGATTTAGTGAAATCCAGGTGAGCGTGTTTTTATGGACCTTTTTAACTGAGAAAGGGCTTCTGGTCTGTAGTAGCAAAAAGGTGTCAGATTGGAGGTGCTTGGAAAACTAGTCTTAGACCACTGGGGAAAAAAAAAACATCATGTTTTCTGAGAATTGGCTTCAGGTCCCAGAATATGGTCTGACTCACTTGTTCTTCCTTAATTGAATGATATTTAATCCTTTTGATATCCCAAAAGCAAAGTAAAATTTTGTACTTTACTACTGGAGTTTTAACTTTCCATTGTCCAATTCTGTCCTTGTCTCTGTTCTGCGACTGACTTTCTGCCAAAACAACGTGTTCGCTTATTTTCAGGAACTCATCTTCGGGGTCTAGAAACTACAGCTACTTACGACCCTGCTACCCAGGAATTCATCCTCAACAGCCCCACTGTGACCTCCATTAAGTGGTGGCCAGGTGGACGTAAGTGCATCACTGCCTGTCTAGTTCTGAAGATATATGGAAAAACTTAGGGAGGTGATGTTGTGTGTTATATCTACAGAATGATGATTGACAGGTGATCCGAAGCGCTGGCTGAAAGGCAGTTACTCTTGCACAACAAGTGACTGACTTACTGCAGCCTAGTAAAACTTTGGATTATCTGTGTGCCCTTAGTTGTGTCTCAGAATCATTCACGCTGTATGGATTTGGTGTCGGTTTTGATCAGCTGTATCAAAATCTTTGCACTTTCTTCAGCTCCACTGGCAGGTTTGCCAAGGACTTGGTATTGTATAGTCAAGAGAATCGTATTATGCAGCTTTCATTGACTTGAGCAACTGTTTGTCTGTAGAATTTGGGTGATAACCAGTGCTGTAAACCTGGTTTTCTGATGTATGGTGTGGTTAAGGTAATCTCAGATCCTGCTTTAAGGAAAGAGGCTCTGTGTATACAAGTGCGTTGACTGGTTTTTTCCTTCTGACTCCCACTCCCTTTGCAGTTGGAAAGACGTCGAACCATGCCATTGTCCTGGCTCAGCTCTACACTCAGGGCCAGTGCAAAGGCCTGCATGCCTTCATTGTTCCCATACGGCAGCTGGGCACCCATGAACCTTTGCCAGGTAAAAACAAAGGGTTTAGCACTCATGGAATTAGTTAGATCTTTCCTCTCCAGCTATATGCAGCCGCATGTGTCGTCTTAATGCACGTGGCTTATTTCACTAGCTGATTTCAGTGAGTAGTTGGTAGGTCGCAGGGCTCAAAGGGGTCTGTCTTATGACTGAACTGCCTCTAAGTCATCTTTCATGTCACGCTTTCAATGTGAAGGGTGGTTTGGGATTTGATGTGTCCCAGTGTTTCCCAGCTATGCTCTGTGAGGCAGCATGTCCTGCTTTCTGAAAGGAAGAGAATACCTCTCATCATTCTCTAGCTAGAAGTGAGCTGGATAATGTTTACAGACAGCTCCCCCAGTGACTGGAGAGCAGGACTGCATGTCAATGATGAAGATCCCCATGTTTTGATGTCCATTTTTCCATCCAAGAGATTAAGGTCCTCGTTAGCTTTTGCTCCTTACAATGCCAGGACTTGCTAGAAAACTAAACAATCTCTTTATTGGAAAAGGTTTCAACCTCTCGTGTGGTGTTCAGTTCCTGTTTCTTAATGCAAGCGGCTTTGTCTGTGGCAGGTATTACAGTGGGTGACATTGGGCCCAAATTTGGTTACGATGAAATGGATAATGGCTACCTGAAAATGGACAACTTCAGAATCCCTCGGGAAAACATGCTGATGAAATATGCCCAGGTAAAGCAGTGAATTTCAGCATATACTGTTAGAAATGGACACTTAAAACGCTCTTGTGTGGTTGAACAGTGTACAAGATTGTAGGTTGCTTGTAAGTGCTACTTGATAAGTTTAGAGCTTGACATGTGAACGTGTAAAAGGGAGGAAACTTCAAAAATCAACAGGCTGTTACTTTTTTTTTTCCTGGTAGGTTGAACCAGATGGCACCTATGTGAAACCACTCAGTGACAAGCTGACCTACGGGACCATGGTGTTCATCCGATCGCTCATTGTAGGCGATTCGGCTCGCTCCCTGTCCCGGGCTTGTACCATTGCCATCCGCTATAGTGCGGTGAGGCACCAGTCTGAGCTGAAGCCAGGGTGAGTGCAGGGACGTAAAGGCGCAGCCTGAGTGCTGAGGGAAAACTCCCAAGTACTGGAGGGAAGAGGGACTGTGGGTGATGTTGTTTGCTTTGGTGCTTGGTAGTTTCCAAACACTGTTTCATCCTGAGAAGTGAGTAATGTTGCATTCGCGACTGTCAGGATGTCTTCCCCGTGCCAGAGGCTTTTGCTGTTGGTCTCTGATAGTCTGGCTTGATGCAGATGCAGCTCGTCCTACCTCAGTGGAGCAGCTACTGAGCGCTGGACGGGACTTCGCAGCAGTTTGCCAGCCCCTGGCATACTAACTCCTCTGCGTTTTGCTCTAGGGAGCCGGAACCCCAGATCTTGGATTATCAGACCCAGCAATACAAACTCTTTCCTCTCCTGGCAACAGCGTATGCTTTTCACTTTGTGGGAGCCTACATTAAAGACACCTATCACCGTATTAGTGGAGACATCAATGAAGGAGACCTGAGTGAGCTGCCAGAGGTACTGTGTCCTCTGTTGGTTTTATGTAAGGTTTCTTTACAGCATGGGAGAAAAGGCGTGAAGCCTTTTTGTCCTTCACTCATGAGACCTCTTGTAATTCTTTAGATTCAGAGATCCCAAGCCCAGTATGTGCTGGTGACTTTCATTTCTTTCTCTGTGCTATTCATTTAGCTGCCCTTTCCAAAAAAAAACAGGGAGTAGTGCACAGTGAGAAAGCTGCTGTGAATATATGTTTTTAAAAAAGGTGACTTTCCAGGAATGATGGCATATTGCTTGGGAGTGGAGCTAAGACTGATCTTATGCTTGTGCTGTAGCTTCTTGGTTGTTCTTCAAAGTCACTAGGGTAGAACTGGGGTGTTGGTCAAAGGTATCAGTGCTATACTGAGGGGTTAGGGTTGTACAATGTTAGTTTCCAGTTAGGGAGTCTGTCTGAGAACCTGATGTAGACATAAACAATTAAAAACATTCTTGTACATACAATGCGTAGAGACAGAAAGGACGGGCTACTCAAAAGAAGTCTTTACATGTGCAGAGGTTTTCATGTAATAGTCTGGCTCAGGAAAGAGTCCTTACACAAAAAACGAGACCCTGAGGGACCGTGGAGGGATGGTGTTGACTCTACTTTTTCCTGGGAGCTGCAGTACTTGGCATGTATGTGTGCAAGCTAAGAATGGGAAATAAATCTGACCTGGCTTTGCTGTTGTCCATCAGCTCCATGCACTGACAGCAGGGCTGAAGGCCTTCACTTCCTGGACTGCCAATGCTGGAATTGAGGAATGTCGGATGGCATGTGGTGGGCACGGCTATGCAGTGGCCTTCCTGACATCTACGTCACCTTCACCCCCTCCTGCACCTATGAAGGAGAAAACACCGTCATGATGCTGCAGACAGCTAGGTATGGGAGCTTCTGTCCAGAGACATCCTTGCCTCGGCATTACGGTCTTTGTAGCCGAAGTGATGAGCAGAAGAGTGTCCTGTATGACCATGAAACTGGTGTCTCATGTTTCTGTCCCTTGCCCTATTTTGGAAAGTAGATGCCTACAACTGTTCTTTGCGAGTCTGACCGTAGGTAAGGTGACTTCTTTCCGTTCAACCAGCTCGTGAGTAAAAGCTGCTGTTTGTCGTGTCTGTTGTCAGGTTCCTTGTCAAAAGCTACGCCCAAGTGAGTTCCGGGCAGCGGGTTACTGGCATGGTGTCCTACCTTAACGATCTCTCCAGGCACCGCATTCAGCCGCAGCACGTGGCTGCCAAGACTGCGACTGTGCGGATCAATGACCCAGCCAGCTTGGTAGAGGCCTACAAAGCGCGTGCTGCCCGGTGAGTTCGCGTCCTCGCGCTGAGCCAAGCGCCAGTAAAAATGGTGTGGCTTGGGAGATGGCAGTGATGTGCTGCCCTGTTCACGTCAGGTTCTCGGGATGTGGTTTGCAAAGCTTTGCTCCCCGTGGTGCTTTCAAGAAGTGACACGCTACTAGGCTGGGTCAGCGTCGAGTGCTGTGAGGTTACAAGAGGCCACACGCCGCCTACGCGTAGCCTAGTCCCTCTAGGAGTGTTCCATTTTGAAACCTCTTTTTCGTATTTAAATGGAAAGTATGTTCAGGCAGACAAATACCAACGTTGTTCAAACTGCTCAGAGATCTGTCTGGAGAAACACAGTCCCGGTATTCAAGCCTGTTGTGAAGGAAGTGTGAGAGCAGAACAGATCCCTACCTGTGAGTAAGTATTCTAGCGCCACATATGTGCTGTCAAACGTTGTCTTACCCCTCTGTAGCTGGGTTCCAGCTGCAGCAGGGATGACAGGGCTTTTAGAGCCACAACTACACACTCCAGGCAATGTGTTCAGTTGTAGCACGTGACCTCTGAGTTCTTCTGGCGTGTTAGACCGAAAATTCGTACAAATTCGGTGTACGTAATCTTGTTAACGCGGTGTTATGGCATAACCTGTTTATCTTCCTTTTATGAAATAGGCTTGTGGAAGCTGCAGCTAAGAATTTGCAAGCTGAACTGAACCACAGACAGAGCAAGGAGGATGCCTGGAACAGAACTTCTGTTGATCTTGTGCGAGCCTCTGAGGTCAGTGATTGATCAAGAAATAGGCGATAAGACCTTCTCATCTCTTCACGGACCCGGTTCACCTTCCTTTCGTTTCTTGTAGGCGCATTGTCACTATGTGATAGTGAAGCTTTTCACAGCCAAGCTGGCTGAGATCAGTAATGCAGCTGTCCGTGCCGTCCTGACCGAGCTGTGTCTCCTGTATGCGCTGTACGGGATCAGTAAGAGCACAGGGGATTTCTTGCAGGTTGGTGTCTTTCTCCAGCACTTTAAATCTCTAGAGCCAGAGTCATTGTTTGCAAAGACACTTTACCTGCAAAGCTGCACGAATGCTTAGGCGTGAGGTCTTGGCTGCTGGCTTCCAGCAGGCCGTTAGCAATGCAGGTGTGATGGGAGGCTCTTGTTGAGTTTCCCTGCGATCTGCCAGAAGCAGAGCTGGGTGGTAAATGGTAACATGGCATCTGTCGAGGTTAGCTGAAATGTTCTCCAGGGGTTAAAAACCAAGGAGTTAATAAAGGAGATGAAGTTAGACATGCTGAGAGCTGTATGCTTTTGTAAATTAGTGCACAAAAGGGGGATATTGTGCTCCACGTCTTAATCCATCCTTCAGTGAATGGGCTTGAATTGTCAGGCATTAGTTTTCTTCATTCTTTCAGTTTGAGAATGTATTTGTGCAGCAGTATTTTATTTTGTCTTCAGGTAGACATGGTATGTTTTGTCTTCCCATTTTCCTCTTTGCTGCTTACCAAACAGTTCCCTGAAACCAGGAAGAATTTAATATACACACATGTACATTCTTCAAGAAAACTTGCTCCTAAAGTCAGCGTCTGGGGACTCTAAAGAATGAGCCTCCCATCCAAGATGAAACAGGCAGTACGGCGGGCGATGCGAGGCATCTCCTTTTGCTGTGGCAAATTGCCAGTTCGATTACTTGGCACTTAGGAAGGAAAAACCAAAACAAAGTAGTGTTTTATGAACTGCTGCGTGTTTGTCGGGGGGGAAAGGCTGGCCTCTGTTAGACCACAGGGGAAGGGAAGGCTCTTGTGACTTGCACACTCTTCTGATAATCTCTTCTTTTTCCAAGGCGGGTATTCTGAGCGATGCCCAAATTACTCAAGTGAACCAGCGTGTGAAAGAGCTCTTGGCTGTAATTCGCCCCAACGCGGTGGCGCTGGTAGACTCCTTTGACTTTCATGACGTTCACCTTGGATCTGTGCTTGGCCGGTATGATGGCAATATCTATGAGAACATGTTTGAGTGGGCAAAGAAGTCCCCGCTGAACAAAACGGAGGTAAAGAAACTTTATTTCTTCATCTTTAGGGCACAAGTGTCCAGAGAAATAACCCAGTTTAGGTTTGGTTTTGGTTTTTTTCATTTTGATCCAATGACCTCTGCATGTAATTGATGAAGGGGGGGAGAAAAGTCACTGTACTGGGAATGGACCAAAACTAGCAACCTACTTCTGCCCCTCTGCTTTCAGCATACTCTCTTCAGTTGCTCTCCTGTGTGTGCTTCACGCACATCCCTATGGGATACTTTGGAGTTTCTCAGCTGAGGGAGGAAATCCTACTCTCCCTGGAGAAAAAACTGAATAATCTTGTTGAATTTAAAAGAAATGGTCACTTGCTGTTAATTCTGCTTCGTGACAGTAGCTGTGAAAGCCTTATGGGTCTGCTGGCAGATCTTTCAGGCAGCAGTAGCGGCTGGAGAAGAAAATAAGTTGCTGCCATGTAGTACTTCAGTGGCAGGGGTCACGTGTCTGCCCCAAGGCTGCAGCTACAGCGGAGTTAAAAAGCAACCGAGCTGAGAAGAGGCGGTGTCCCTCTTCCATCAGCCAAACCAGAACTCTGAATCCTCTCTCGGTGGCCTTTACTGCCTTTGTTTGATTTGGACAGACTGTCTCCTACGACGGACTGCCAGAGGCTGCGATTGTAGTTAAAACCCACCAGAACTTGCTCAATTTTTTTGTGCTTCAGTGGGGTGTAGGAGCTTCATTACAGTCCCCTCAGGAAACCTCTGCCGGTTTTCTTTGAACCAAAATGCCAGAGAATTGTCTGTATGGATGTGTCTTGCATCCTTCTTTCTTACAAGAAAGGAGGTGGGGGAGCTGTTTGTTTGGGCTGACGTTCTTCTCATCCTTTGTGTCATGCAGACACTCCAGTACAGGCCTTAGCTGGCTGTTCTGCAGTCCCCAAAGTGCCTCTGATTGAAATTTCCCCAGTATAAAAACACGGCAAGATGTAAAGAGCTAAAACTGTTTTAAAGCTCAGGCCTGACCTTGTTTGTAACCACTGCCTTGTCCTCCTACAGGTTCATGAGTCTTTCCACAAACACCTGAAGCCGATGCAAGCCAAGCTGTGAAGCCTCCTGGGGTTTTGTTGGTGGTTTTTTTTAAATGCACACTTTTCCTGACCTGAAAACTGGGTGTCTGTGTCCTTTCTCCAGGCACCTAAATCGAACCTTTCAAATCTGGTAGCTGTAGGACAGTGAATAATTGTCGTCTTTCTTTCCACTCTTACAAATCGAGGAGGGGTTTGGGGAGAGCGCATAGGGATCGATGCCTGGTTTTAAAGTGCAATTATAATGGTAAAATTAACCTTTGAAAAATCTGGGAAAGCTTTATGGATTCATTCAAGGATTGCTTTTGTGAAGCTGCTAACTAGAGAGAAGTTACTGTCAACTGGAAAGGTAGTGGGACTTTACTACTAAGTAGTTAACAGCCCTCAGGCAATAGCTTCTAATAAGCAGTTACATCCTCCCCCCAAAAAGCATCAATGTCTTGATTTTTTTTTTTTCTTTTTTTAAGATTAGCACCACTTATCCTTTTGTTTGGCAAATATTTATGCTCTGTAAAGCCTCCTGCAGAGTTTTGTGCACGTGAATCTGCACGTGGCACTGCTTTCCTGAGGTAGCTGGGAAGTAAACACCCATCCTGCTCTGGAGCTCGGCTTTCCAGGAGACATCTTCATGGTTTCCATCCAGCCTTCTTTCACTGCCCTGCAGGAACTCCTTTTGCCCATGTACCCTCTCCAACACTGGCATCTCACTCTTGGTGAGCAGGAACTCAAAGGAGAAGATAGTGAAGCTGCTCTGAGGAGCAGTAATAACGGTCTGGGGCTGATGATAGATGTTCTGCCCTTCTTTGAACCGTTAGTGTTGGCGTAGCGCCGTCTCAGAGCACTTTACAGGTGTTAATGATGGTGATTTGGTGTGGAAAAACCCCATGTAGTGGTAGAAACCACAAATTTGACCGGGAATGATGAAGCCAGTACTTGAGGGCAGAAATCAGTTGACCAAGGTCCTTGGGTCTTCAGATTGTTCTGGGATGTTCTTCTGGTTTTTAAAGGTGTTCTTGAAGAAAACGACAATCCCAAGTGAAGTGTCCGGATTTTTTTCCTACCCATGCATTTCCAAGGAGCTTTCTCTGATTTGCTTAGTTTTGTTTTTATATTGACTTGGGACTCGCACAGCGCTGCCTGGATTTAACAGGTGAAGGAGCTGGCTTTTAACAGAACCTCCTGATGCCCAGTGAAATCGGTGCAACTACAACTAAGCCAAATCATTGCTGTTTTTCAACACCAGTAACTCTGTCCAGTAACAGTAAAACCTCTCTTCACAACGGAGAAGAGGAACTTTGAGCTTAAAATGGTAAAAAGCTTCATCATAAACCCAAATCCTGTAATTCTGAGGCAACATCTGAGAAGCTGGTTCTCCGGCAGCTTTGGTCTCCGTTAGTCTCTAATTTTGGATCAGTTTTCCTGGAGTTTTTCCTGGCACTAACAATGATCAGACACAATGTTTGGCTACGCACGCAGTAGCTGAACAGAAAGAAATGTTTAACTTTAAATAAAATAATCAAACTTGCCTTTTGGCTGCTGAGTCTTTCAGGTCGAATGGAACCACTGCTGTTTCAGGATACCAAAGGAGGCAAAGGGCTTTGCTCGCTGTTCATTCAGCAGAGCAGGCTGCTGGCCTGGGGAAGGGTGATGGAGGAGCAGGTTAATGATAAATCAGCGAGAGCTGTACCAGCTAACGGTGTACGGATCGAATAAATTACAAACGTGTTTTCAGACAAAATGCCTTTCAGGCCTTGCCTTCAGTGGATCTCATTTAAATTGATGGCTGAAGTAGAACCAAGTATTCAAAAGACCTTAAATTAGTTGGATTTTAGTTGTCTTATTTCTAGTCTGACCTTTCTGGCTTTGCAGCATTCTAGGGCAGCCAGCCCAGTCCACCAGCGATCCTTGCCTCTGCTGCTGCTCGCAGCCACAGGGAAAATAAAGCTGGCAGAGAGTAAAGCTGTCTGTGGCACACTGCTCGGTGTTACTGTGGCTCAGAGGCCAGCAAAGGCTCGTCCCTGCCAACAGGAACGGTGCAATAATAGCCTTAGGCAGCAGAATTCAGAGAAGCTATTTCTTTAAAATTGTTTCTCCTTGTTTTTTTGGAGTAGATCGTGATGTAACGGCACATGCTGTGCTTCCTTCCTATCCGCGAGGATATTGTACACTTGTTTGGGTTTTTTTTCCACCTTGCTGCCGTTGGTGGTAATACCTGAAGGCCAGAACCTGGGCCGGCTCGCCCTGTCTCACGGTCAGCAAACAGCAGTTAAACCCTGTCACAGGGCCCCGCATCCTCGCTAGGACTTGTCCATCTTTGGACAAAATGTGGCAGTACCATTTCCACAAGCGTTGAGCCTCTTCTGCGTGAGTAGAAGTGATTTCAGTGTCAAGTGTTGACACTTGTCAGCTGCACCATTCTCCTTGAAAAGTATTGAAATGAGTGGCCTCTGAGCGTGGCTTCCAGTCTGATTTAACAATGGACTCTTAAAAATGCTGCCTTTTGGTGAAGGCATTAGTCCAGGCGGGAACATGGGTGCCTTTTGACAGCACCCATGGTGAAAGCCACTGGCGTAGATGGGCCCACAGGTTATAAAATCTCAAAGGCAGTCCTTTCCCCAGGGATTTTCTGGAAGTAACAACTGAAGTACAAGCAAACAAGGCAGGAGCAGGGCTGGCTTTGTCCTGTACCCAGCTTTGCTAAGTGGGAGCTTTATTTTAGCCTGAACTTCCAACGTTTCCAGCAGTGCCAGTGCATTGCTGTGGAGGCTGCTGTGGTTGGATTTGCTAAACCTTCCCCTTTCGGGGCAACGGTCACTAATTTGTCTACTCAACCATCCCAGAGGGGCCGCAGGGAAGAGCTCCAGCCGGGCTGTGCCACACGCCATCGCCAGGTGGGGCGTCCATGCCTTCTCCTGGGGGGTCCCTGACCCAGCCCCTCTCCTGCTCAGCTGGGAGGGGTGGCTGCTGGGCTTGCCTGGCCCGAGGGCTGTTCTCTTTGGAGCTGTCAGCCCCCAGGGCCTGGCCCCTGGCTGGCACCTTGTGCTGGAACTGGTTTCTGGGTGGCTGGAGAGCAGGACTGGGATTGCTCCTGCTCAATGCACCACCCCTTGCTGGTTCACAGGGCTGGTTCGTTGTGCCCAAGCCAGCCCGCTGTCCTTGAAGGTCCGTCTCTGCCGTAGCCAAACCCCCGTCCCCGTCCC